TCAGCAGGATGACTCTCTCAAACGAGAGGAAGCCTAACGACACTCAGTGCTGGTAGGGGAACTCTTAAGAGTGGAGGTCTCAGCATAACGACTCCCTAAAGTGAGAGGAGACCTAGCTACACTCAACGCCAGAGGCAGTTAGTGAGACTCAAAAAAAGGAAGAGCCTATATTTCTGCCTAAGCGGTGCTCTGGAGAGCGGAAGCTTCAGCAGGATGACTCTCTTAAACGAGAGGAAGCCTAACAACCCTCAGCCCTAGTAGAAAAACTCCCAAGAGTGGAGATCTCAGCATGACGACCCTCTAAACGAGAGGAGACCCCACTACACTCAGCGCTAGAGACAGTTAGCGAGGCTCACCAAGAATCTACGAAGTAATGATACTGCCTAAGCGGAGCTCCATTTACGTTGCGTCTCGTCTCGTTTTCGTCACGTGATAAAGGTTCGTTGACGATGATATTTAGTCATAATTTTCGTTGACGAAAGCAACACTACTAACTACACTTTCTCTATTTCTCTTCATTAATAATAAAAAATTTAAAATACAATTTTTGGTCAAATTATGCAGCCCTACAAACAAACCTAATGAAAATCAACCATGGTTTTGCTACATATAAACCCAAAAGAACATGGCTGCTGTAGTTAAACTATGGTAACAACAAATTAACCATGGTTTTGCTACATATAAAACCAAAACTCCATGGTTACTATATTTATTCAACCTTGGTAACCACAAATTAACAATGGTTTACACTAACCATAGTTTAATCATGGTATTTGTAGTAAAACTGTGGTTATACAAATTGTAGTCAATACACCAAAAAGCCATGGTTACTACACTTTTACTATAATAAAACCATGGTTCATTTTCATAAGAGGCACTTAGCAAATCTGGCACATTTTGTTTGTTTGTTTTTTAATTGCATTTTTTATTAGAAAATCATAATTAGATTTTTTTTTCCCCAAATCATATTGCCCTAACAAGCATTCTTGAAAATGCAGCCTCTTTAAGCAGCTCAGTGTGCTTTGGAACACAGCAAATCTCTTCTCCCTTCAAGAAGCTCAATGATGTTAATTTTTTTTCTCATTATTTTGTTCTTATTTGTTCATATCATATTGGAAAAGAAAGTTATTTTTATGGAGAGGGATGTATTTGATTTATCTGAAGGCGGTATGATAGCTGTTTGTGTGCGATATTAAATGTATCTGAGTGTCTGTAATATTATTTGGAAATGATAGCATCTAATCCAGGAATAAATTACTGCGGTGACAACACCATGTGTAGCACGGGTAGGGGCGCACACACACACACACACACACACACACACACACACACATTCTTAAAACAAACACTGAAGATGGAGGGGTTCTCATTTATATGTACATGCATGTCCAAAGACATATTCACAAACAAACAGTCAAAAACACATAATCTTCTATACACACACACTCACATACGCCGACCAGCATGCACCTGCAAACATTTGCCGTCACCCTGTCATTTTACCTCTCACACAATACTGAGTGTGCCTGAAGGGCTGCCTTTTATTTTGACATGTCTTTAATCTTAGTGTGAAAGTGCAAACACATCACGTTTACTCCTCTAGCATTTCTCAACCCTCAGCTATGGAGCCCAAGCATACAAATGTGCAGCATGTTGTGCATTTGTTTATAAACAAAAAAATATATATATTATATTAACATTTACTCACTATCATGTCATGCCAAATCCATTTGACTTTCTGTAGAACACAAAAAAGATTTTAGGCACAGTGTTCACAGGTACATTGTTCAAACTCCATTGTATGGAAAAGAGCAGCGTGAACATTCTGCTCAACATCTGCTTTTGTTTTATATGGAAGAACATTACTCAGGTTTGGAATGAAAATGAGGGTCATTGCTTTTACAGAATCTCCCCTAGAAACCTCCTCCATCTTTTTTGTGCATTAATCTTTTACTTTTTCTATAAAAATTCCTCCTGATTGGCCGAAATGAAGCCTTATTTGGTGACGAAAGGTTCTCCTCTAGAGGACGGTGAGCAGTGCTGGTTCACCGCTGACCCACTTCTTCTTTCTCGTTCTCCTCTTTCTCTTTCCCTCTGTGTTGGCATCAAAAACAGGGCTTGTGATCAGTCCCACTGTCCCTCGGCCCTCTGTCTACTAACTGCAGCAGTTAATGAACTTACTGTGGAACTACTGTGGCACCGCTGAGAGTCCCAGCTACTCTCTTTCATGTACTTATTTCATATCTGTGCTGTAGCCCAGCACACTGAATTATTAACTAGAGCTCTCCCTTTTCTGGGATGATGCTTTGTGTTATACTTGTCTGTCTTTTTTTTTTTTTTTTGCCTTCTGTCTGTAGTTGAGGGAGGCTTGGTTAGTGATGCATGAAATAAGATGTGAGTAGTTAGTGTTCTGATTGGATGCTCTAATGGGCTGCATGTTTACAGTTGCAAAGTCAGAGTGCATATCTGTTTAGCAAGCAGTTCGTAGAACATTTTCTCAGACCGTCAGGTGTTATGGGTTGGGGAAAAAAAGTTGTGGTTTGTGTCCAAAATCAACTATTTCTAATCAAACATAGGTCACATACCCACTGCAGTGGTTATGGGTGTGAAATCCACATTTAAATGCAGGAGTGGATCTATTAAATTATTCTACCTTATGTGAACAGAAAACTGGAGTCACTTCAAAACCTGAAATTTTTGATATAGAGATAATCATAGCAACGGTTTGGTGTCTCACAGGTGTAAAAGAGGAATGACATTTCACATGCCCACTGCAGTGGTTATGGATGTGAAAACCACAATTAAATGCGAGAGTGAATCCATTAAATTATTGTACCATGTGTGAACAGAAAACTTGAGTCACTCCAGATCTTAAAATGTTTGCTATAGAGATAATCATAGCAACGGTTTGGTGTCTCACAGGTGAAAAAGAGGAATGATATTTCACATGCACACTGCAGTGGTTATGGGTAAGAAAACTGTTCAAATGCAGGATTGAATCCATTAAATTATTGTGTGTGAACAGAAAACTGGAGTCACTCCAGATCCCAAAATGTTTGATATAGAGATAATCATAGCAGCATTTTTGGTGTCTCGCAGGTGTAAATGTGGAACATGGATGGTTGAGATTTAAATGCAGGATCCAGATGTCACTCTTGTAATAGTCAAAACACAATGTGTAGAGAATCCTGATTAAGCACTGGGAAGTGGAATGACATCTGAATTTAGCAACCTTAACTCTTTCCCTTCCTCCTTGTCTTTCCCATTTTCATCTAAGTAGAATGATAACTTGCTTATTTGCTTTTTGGGGCAGATCTTAACCTGGAGAGCCCCTGCCTGAAGAAGACCTGCGAGTTCGGAGCCGTGTGCGTGGTTAAGAACAGCGAGCCTGTGTGCGAATGCTCAGACGCTTGTCCACAGGACCAAGACCCTGTTTGTGGCAGCGACGGGCACACTTACAGCAGCTCATGCCAAATGAAGGCCATGGGATGTGCCCTTCAGAAAAAGATACAGATGCAGCACAAAGGACCATGTGGTGAGTCCACACACACACACATTGATGCCACTCACTCCCTCACTGCCTTTCATCCCTGTCCACCCCCTGCACTTAAGCACTCCACCGATATTTCGAGAGAGGACTGTAATTTTCCTCCTCCGCAACCTTTTTTTGAAACGATGCACTTAAGTTAGAATTAAAGAGGGCAGCATCCTTCACAGTAATTGTTTGCATGAGTCATGGGTTTTTTTGTCTGGCTTTTGTAAGCGCTCCAGATAAGTCTGCAGAGGCCTGCTCGCCCTCCAAACAAACGCATGGTTATGTGTGTTCTTCACAAAAGGCTTGTAAGTCATTTTCGATGGCTGTCTTTGGGCTTGGGAGGGGAATATTAAGGGTGCTTTTTCTGCTAAACTTGGAGCCCTTTGTAAAGCCAGTCTCTTTCACGGTCGGCTTAAGTTCAGAGAGAATGAGGTGGAGCTATTGTGTCGACAGAAGTGTCATGTGTTTGCAGTTTATACATGTGTGTGTATTGGCTCTGCCGCCAGTGAAGAGTTCGAAATGGATGCCGGGGGTCATTTGGTAGCAGTAGTAAAATTCATCTCAGATCGCTATAGGCCACGGTTGCCCTTTATTGCAGCGCCGCCTATCATGCTATATATGTTGCCAGATAGCAAATGACAAATGAGAGTGATATCTCTCTCCTCACAGGCTTCTGGAACATAAGCTTAACTACCCACAGAGATTTAACCCACAGAAACAGGTTTGGTTGGGGCCAAACAAGTCAGTTTTCATGCCTACATGGATGAAATCTTAAAACTGATGATTCAGGATTAGAAATAGAAGATTTTAGAAATACTTGAGATTGACAGATTTGTTTTGGAACGGCAAGCTTGATGTTCTATGTGTAGAAGGTAATAATAGGCTTCCTACAATCATAGAAAAACTGTAAATAAAAGATAATGGTAACACTTTAGTAAAGGGACCAGTTCTCACTATTAACTAGTTGCTTATTAGCATGCCTGTTATTATCATATTGGCTGTTAATAATGGTTAGTTAATAGCAAGAATTGAATCTTAAAATAAAGTGCCCCCCCCCCAAAAAAAAAAAAATAAAATCATTGAAAGCAATAAACTTAAAAAATATATATTTAGATTAAAAAAAAAATTGCTTTTTAATTATATATACTGTATATTTATAATTACATAAAATCAATCATGGGAACCCCATATATAATTAGAAATATGTCATTAGAAAGTACATTATATATGTAAATATTTTATTACATTTAATTTTACAAGCTTTATCAAATGTATTAAAATGTTTACAGTTTATTCATTCATTCATTCATTCATTCATTGAGAAACAACTGAAAACTAATCCTGTAAAAATTGTGGTGGTTGGTAGCTGGTCCAGTTTTGTTTGGTCCAGTCTAGATAGTTAATCAGCTGAACTGCGAAATTGTGTGACTGGTTTAGACCTGCTAGATCATATTGGACAAGCAATTTAGAGATGATAGACCATCTTTTAACCATCTGTGGTATTCCATAAACAAGCTTAACCACCTTGAGCAGGATTTACCTGGTTTTTCCAGCTGGAAATAATCATTGTAGTTTTAAAAAAATCCACCCATTACAGCATCACATCAATGTTGATGGGTCCGGCCCCTTGCTGGAGCAGGTGTCAATGGAAAGGGGCAATAAAAAGCGGCTGCAAACAGCTAACCATACAGAAGGAAATGTTGTTCATTTAGTGCTGTGTACACAGCCACACTCTCCACCTCAAGTGAATTCTATTATTATCACCGTTAATTATCCAGGCCCATTCAGACCACAGCCTCTGCCTCACTAAGACCCCAGCTGTGTTTGTGTGTATCTGTTCGTGAAAGCTTGTATGTGGGTCGCTGTTGATAGCAATGCACCCACATGAGTGGGTGTATGATGTGCTCGTGGCCAAATTTCATTTCATTTTCTTCACTCCGCATAGAGGGGAGACTCATAAATGCCCTTATCTTTATAGTTCAGGTGCAGTCTGATAGAGATATGACTGACGTTGTTTATTATCCTGATTTTTTCCCTCACATTTGAGTGGCGGCTGACCTTGTCTCACAGCTACAGGAAAGCGTGCCATTGTAATGGAGTATTTGATATCTGCCCCTCTGAGAACAAATACGTATATTTTTATATGCAAGGAAATGAAAGAACAGCCAACGAGTCAGCAGCAAATAAGCACTTTTTACTGATGATTGAAATGTTACTGGCCACAGTTGGGGAATATAGGTTACCTGCAAGACACTGAGCTGGAAGCGGAAGAAAAATCATCAGGCTGTGGAAGGAGTGAGAGGGCAGTAAATAAAAACTAGGAGGAGATGGAGCAGACTAATAGAGCCGGTGCCCTTGCCCAAGCACCAATCGCCAGGGAGTTTTTACGGCTATTCACAAAAACTGCTGTTCTGTACCTGACATTAACAATGTTCCTTCCTTTCTCTGGGCAAAAGAGAGCAGTTTACCACTCACCTTTAGAGGAATTGTTCACCCAAAAATGAAACTTTTGTCATCACCAAACCTGTATGACTTTTTTTGTGAAGAAAAAACACTTTTTCATTAGAATGAAACTGAATTCTGAACATTTAAACCATTATTCATAGAAGTTCTGAAAACATCCATTCTAGGTTTCCTATGCTGAAAAAAAAGTTTGATGTAGAAACAATTTTTACTTTTTACAATTTAAATTAATGACAAAAGGCAAATAACACATTGAATTAAAGCTGAAGTTTCTAAGTGGAAAGACTGAAATAGAATTTTCTTGTAAAATATACTCCAGTAATCTTTGAATCTTTTTTTTTTTTTTTTTTTAAGAAAATCCACTTTTTATTATAATGGAATTGAATTCTGAACATTTTAACCATTATTCATCGGGGGGAAAAAAATCTGAAAACACTAATTCTAGCTTTCCTAAACTGAAAAAAAGTTAGATGTAGAAATCATTTTCACTCAGAAATTGGTAGTATTTCACAATTAATGACAAAAGGCAAATAGCACATTGAATTAAAGCTGAAGTTTCTAAGTGGAAAAACTGAAATTGAATTTTATTGTAAAATATACTCCAGTAATCTTTGAATCTTTTTTTTTTTTAAAGAAAATCCACTTTTTATTATAATGTAATTGAATTCTGAACATTTGAACCATTATTCACCGAAAAAAAGAGAAATAGTATTATAGTAATAGGCAAGTAACATATTGAATGAAAGTTGAAATTTGACTGCAATAACCTAAGAAAAACATAAATGACAGAAGTAGTGATGACATTCTGAATTGATTGATTCAATCCGAATGATTAGTTTGCATATCAAGCTGATTCAGTTCTCAATTATTCGATGACTCAGCTCAACAATGACTTAAAATTCAGTCTTTTTCAACACAAAGCTGCCGTAGGAAGACATATATTTGACACCCAAATGGTACAAACCTTTTTTATACCTTTATGATACTTTTGTGGTGCTTTTGTGCTCTTCTTGAAGCTTGAAAGCTCTAGTCCCCATTCATTGTAACTGCATACAAAAGAGAGAAACAGTATTCAAAATTTTCTTTGTGCTTCGAATAAGAAAGAGCGTCATACAGGTTTTGAATGACATGAGGGTGAGTAAATGATGGCACAATTTTCATTTCTGGGCCTGAATGGACAGAATTTCTTCTTGTTTCCCATAAGGCTAAGCTCTGCCATAATGGCCCGTGTCTGTACTCGTATCTCGGGTCCAGCTTTGTATGCTGGATCGCTGTTTATATGTTACCGACTGCCGTATCTATTGCGCTTCCCTCTGCCGAGGCCGTGAAAGCATGGAAACATGTTGCAACTGATAAAGAAATGCCTTTATCACACATACTGATAAAGGAGAATACCAGCAGCCATGCGAATGTGATTTATCGGCCTGCATTGGAATGTCACGACGAAGCGCTCTTGGGCGGCCGCTGGGCAGCACTCTGCAGCTGCTTTTAATAAGACGGCCGAGCGCAGTCCCTGAGGTTGACTGATCCTGAGCGGAGGTGAGGTCACTTTATTAATGTGCAATAAACAGGTTGGTAGAAGAGAGACGAGAGATTTATGCACGAGGACCTCTCTCCATTAACACTAAATCAGGTGCTGTTATTACCCCAGCACTAATTGAATGTGATAGCAGTTGCTCTAATGCAATCCCCCAGGTGTAATTGTCATCGGCCATGCTCCCTCCCTCCCTCTCTCCCAGTTGGAACCACATTTTGTTTTACTGATTAACTGGGCTCTCGGTAATCATAGCAAGATATCTGAGAACTAGGGATTTCAATTTAACACCTTAACTGTGATTAATTAAAAAAAACACACACACACTAAAATCCTTAATCACACTCTCTGACCCGTATATAAAAATAAATAGTACTAGAACGATTTTATATCTTCAGTTAATAATTGAATTGCATGATATTGCAATTAATATCACAAATTAACATTTTGTACTATTACAATACTATTAATTGTTTCATATTAATAATAATTATTTTAAATTCTTAATTTTATGTAATTATTTTATAATATATAATATATCTAACATTTCGTAATATATAAATGTAATATTAATATAATTGTAAATAAATATAAATACGAAATTAATCAAATGTAATATTAAATATAAATGTAAAATGAATAATACATTTCGTATATAATATTTAATTTATTATTAATTAGTGCATGCAATTCACAATTTAATAATTGGAAATAATTAAACTGGGATAAGTATTTTTTCTTTTTTTTAGCTAAGAACACAAGTCTGTCTCTGGTTTAAGATAAGCTCTGTGGCATGAAACTATGTTCCCACTGGCACTAAAAACCCCCTCAGATGGGGAGCTAGTTGCTGGAACACAATTATGAAAACTGGTAAAACAAATTAAAAATATTATAACAGTGAAATTCCTAATAGTAATTCCTAATTGCCATAGCCTATGTTTCTCTATTCAAACTACAGCGGTTGAGTAAGTGCATTTATTTAGCGATAACAATCGCAAACAATACAGTCGAGATCTCATGACAGAACACAGACTGGTTGAGTGACACTTTCATTTTGATCGCTAAACTCCAGCTTGTTTGTCAGTGTTTTGAGATCATCGACGGCGGCGCTTCCGCAATGAGGAGTGAGCGCGTGCGCATGGTTGCCAGATTGCTTAAAATAAGCAAAACACCGGGGAGAAAATGTATCCTTGTAACAGTGACGCTCTGATTCGGGGAACTGTAGAGGCGTGTACAGTTGAGCAGTCCGCAATAACATGTTGTCTCCTTTTTTGGACATTCAGCGCGTTCTTTTGGGAAAGTATGCTTGAATTTGAAATATTCGATATTCACGATAATCACGATATTTTCAAATTTTACATCATCATCAAAATTATTGGATATCGCTAATATTCGATATATCGCCCAGCCCTAATATATATATATATATATATACATACACATATATATTTTTAATCATGTAATTAATTCCAGATATTTTTTTGTATAAAATATATGGAATTAGTTACATGTCTTTTTAAATACATGTATATTCTATCATATTAATATTAGAATTAATTCTTTTGTATAAAATTTGTATAAAATAGCTTAATTTGGGGGTTTTCCTCAGTAAATATTGGCATGTGGTTAATTAAATGCAATGTCATGTCATGGGGGCTGTAACTGTGTCCGAAGGCACAACATCAGTTGAAATGGATGACGTTATAAGATGCTCTGCTGTGCCTGCATGTAAACAGAGCAATGTTGCTCCCATCTGCATGATGGAAGGATGCTTTAGCCCAGACTTTGCTGAGAGATTTTAATAAAGCGGACAGGCGGCCGGGCAGCTGAGGCTGATCCTAGTGAGCGATGGTGTGAATCTGTAGCCTGAATCTCTCCGTTGACATCACACTTCCTTTTCAGCAGATGAGTCCTGCAACAACTGCTCGTTTGGCGCGATCTGCGATGCTCAGACTGGCCGGTGCGTGTGCCCCAAAGGGTGTTTGGAAACACGGCAGCCCGTGTGCGGCAGCGACGGGATGACGTATGAGAACGAGTGCAAGCTAAATGTGGAAGCCTGCACTAAGCAGCTGGATCTCAGAGTGGTGGCCCATGGAGAATGCAGTGAGTACAGAAAAACAACAATCAGTTCATCCATCACCTTCATACATGTTCACTCATCAGTCTGCGTTTGCTGCCAAACAAATCATTTTCTGTAGTATTTTTGTTTTGATTTCCAGTAAAACTTTCTTTAGTTTACAATATTGTGACAGATGACTTTTTTCTGATGTGTCTTGAACTAAGGTTATCTGTTTTGTTTGTTTATGCATAAATCCCATGTTTTTCAGAATTATGCTTTAAGCAAGAAAATTGACAATTTAAGGAGAAAAATAAACTTAATTCAAGATAAATGTTCTCTGAAAAAGTCTTAATATCTTGTGCAGTTTTACATTTCAAGCAAATTATGTTTTGTTTTGGGTTTTTTTAAATCATTGAATTATGTGGTGCTAGAAAACAAGACAAAATACTGATGAAGAAAATGTTTTGCAGTGCAGTTTTCTTGTCAAAACACAAGAAACTGTTTTAGCTCTCTTTCCAAATCATGTTATGCATGCTACATGATTTTACGTGGTGGTTTTTATGTAGCAGAATCCCATGTGAATGTGTTTGGAGTTTCTTGCATCTCTTTGTGTCTCAACTGTCCTATCCTGTGATTTGTGCGTGTTGCGTGTGTGTGATCAGAAACCTGTGGCAGCACTGTGTGTAGCTGGGGAGCACGGTGCGTGCAGAACCAGTGTGAGTGTCAGCAGTGCACGGGTCAGCCGGTGAAACCCGTGTGCGGCAGCAACGGCAACACCTACAACAACGACTGTGAGCTGCGGCTGGCCTCCTGCAAGAAACAGAGGAAGATTGAGGTGGCCAAACTTGGCGTCTGTGATGAAGGTGGGTTTATGTGTTCATGTATGTGATAAGATAAGTGAGAAGCTGAACTCCCTGTTATTCGCTGATTTTCACAGTTGTACTTGGGGCTAGCCGAGTTAATGCATTCACTCCAAACAGTTTATTGCGGCCAATTTAACCTCCTCGCATCGACTGCACTTAGAGACCCGTCATATTTGAAGCATGAAATGCAGGCATCAGTATGCGCCTTGTGTTCTCTGTCTTTTCGCTCTAGGTCCCTGTTGTGTCAGTGTTTGAGATTCAGTTTTATTCTGGTTTTGAGGCAGTTATAGTCGGTACCATGCTTTCCACTTGTACTAACATTTAATAGAACATATGTATATATGTAATATTCACAATATATGCACAATAAGACACACACACACACACACACATAAATATGCTAATGAGACACATTGGAGTGACGTCAGCTCCCCTCTTGGACTGATTGGCTAGAGTAGGAGCTGTCGATCTAGAACTAGTGGACCAATGATGACGCTTAAACCCACCCTGATTTACATGAAACTCTAACCGCAACATTTGGAAAAGCGAGCGCTAAACTTGGAAACAAGAGCGAAGTGAAAAGCAGCATAAGCATACAGAAAATAAAAATATGAGCAGAAAATGTCTGAGGGCACAAAAGAAACAGAAATATATCAAAGGAAAACATGATTTTGTGTGCAAGTCGAATAATTTTGCATTAATATTTCAGTTTTGTGCAATATGATTTTAAATGTTAAAAATTTTGATTCATGCTTATTTTTTCAATTTTTAATTTTTGATTATTTTTCAATCTGTGACTATTGTTTGCTATTCTGAGAACTTTGCTTTAATTTTTTACATTTTGCGCAATATATTTTTCATTATGTTTTTTAATTTTGGTTTAACGCTTTTTTGTCTGCGACTGCAATACTTTTGGCAGAAAACTGATTCCATAAAGTTTCCCTGAGATTTTAAAATAAATATTTTATTAATTAAGTATTATTTCCTTTACGAACCCCAGTTTGGGAAACCTTGATGTAATGTAATGTTTAATGCACTTCATGTTAATTACAACAAACAAATACATTTTCTTACTCTTTGTATTTTTATATCAATATGGTACAAGATTGTCCAATATGATAAATGAGAAGTCATCTAAAAGTAATCAAAAAGTAGTCTTATTATATTACCTAAATGTGTAATGCAATGGATTACGTTACAAACTACTATTTTTGTCATGTAATTTGAAATCAGTAACAGACTACAATTTAAACTACAAAGTAGTCTACCCAGCTCTGTATATAATAAACTATAATGTACCCTACCACTTCTCTGTATAGTCCTTATGTAATATCTCACTTAAGTCATTCCCAGCAGGCTGTTTGGCAGTAAAACAAAAATAAATAAATAAATAAAATAAAAAATCACACATTTTTCCCCTCTAAGTCTCATCAGACCTTTTTTTCCAGCTCTGTAAGCTGTGGAGGTGTTGCTGTTAAAGGCTGCAGGATCTGGGTCCAGTCAATAGATCCTGCCCAGAGGCCTGTGACACCTGCTTTGTCAATTTATTCTCTAGACTAGTGATGCAACACTGCGGCGGCTAAAACACATCAGCCGGCAGGTCTTTGTATTTAGAAGAATAGTGAACGGGGTTTTAAGTTGATGAAAACAGAGCTGTTTTGTCTATCTTACATTTAGCTTTCAAACACCGCACTCCATTTGTGTGATGGCTGGTATGATTTTGCGGTTGTGGGCACAAAATACAGTGTCAAAGTAAAACATTTTCTCAGAGGGGCCAAAGGGGCTGTTTATTTACACAGACATGGTTTATTCATTTGTTTAGACCTGGCTTCAATACGCATGTTCATTAGTCATAAGAAAGAAATGGCAGTGTTCTCTCACTCTTTTATTTGGAGGTAATGAAAAATGACAGTGTTCCCTGCGTCTGGCCGTAGCGGAGAATTTATCACCTGTTTAATTTCACACTCTGCTAGTCTGAAGTCAGCCTCATTGTAGACACAGACAAAGCGATATGAGAGAACCGAGCATCACCTTGGGGCAGAGGCCCGCTTTTAATTGAATATACGTTTACTAAATCGGATTATGCATTGGAAATAGCAACATAATAGCGTATAAAGCATCAGTACACGCTCCGGATCACCCACAGGAAGAGAGTTTGGGAGAGGGCAAACAGGACAGAGTGTGCAGTCATCCGTTACACACAAGAATCTTCTCATAAAGAACTTCTGCAGGCTGTCAGGATGCCCTATTGCTCTTTATGTTGGCAGCGTTACGATTACTCTAAGCTACTGTCCAGGTCTTTCAGTAATGCCCATCTACAGGAGACAAATCACAAGTAAACAGAAAACAACCAACTAGGGCTGGAATTTATAGCTTAAAAAAGGTAACTTTTTTTAGTCTTTATATATATTGATATAAAGTGATTTTTTTTAGTCTTTAAATATGTTGATTTAAAGAGTTTTTTTTATGTTTTGTTCATTTAGAAAAGAAAACAAGCCATTGTAGCCAACTGAATTATTATTATTATTTTTTAATAATTCTAAAACACAGTAAACATATAGTAAATGTATCTACACATAAATAAAATATGTGAATATCTAATTAATATTATGTAGGCATATTTTCCACAGTATTCTTCATAAAAAATGTACACAAAAAAGAATATTTAATTTTTTTTATTAATGTTCCCTACTATAACAATGCATAGTACTAATAAGCAATATTTATCTACATATATTTAAAAATAAAACAAAAATATTCTGAGCACTGATGAATTGTTGGATCAGTTTTGAATCGAGTCATTTTGAACTGATTGACATGAAATGAATCAAACTTACCTGTTCTATTGCCAGTTTTACTACTGAAGTTTAAATCTGAAGATCCTATGTCTTTAAGGAACAGTTTACCCAACAATGAAAATTCTGTCACCATTTAATCAACCTCATGTCCATCCAAAACTTTATGACTTCTTTCCTCTGTGGAGCATGAAAGACAATATTTTGAGGAAGAACATTTTAGAAATGCCTATATAATGAATGTAAATGGCATCCAAAACAACATTAGACATCACTGACTTTTATTGGGTGGACAAAAAACATGGCGATATTAATCAGTGTATCCTTTTTTGTGTTCTGCCAGAAGAAAAAAAAAGTCATACAGGTTCGGATCAACATGAGAATGAGTAAATAAGAGTGAAAATTTGTTTTTTTTTTTGGAGTAAATTATGTTTTTAATGTTCCCAGAGTCATTAAAAGTGTGCAAAATTTGTCATGTGATGCCTTTTATCAAATCAAATGTCCCAAAAAAGTCACAATATTCGCAGTTTTCCTTAATTTTGTCACCAGTAAAGTCATTGCATATATATTGTGAATATTTTAGAAATTGCCCAATCCTACAACTAACCATCCTGCCGATCTTGAAGGCCAAAGGTTGTGTGTTTGTGTGTGTGTGTGTGTGTGTGTGTGTGTATCTGTATGTATGTGTGTGTGTGTGTGTGTGTGTGTGTGTGTGTGTGTGTGTGTGTGTTTTCATGGGAGTTATGCATTCATGGTAAGGCATCCCAGCCACCTGCAACAAACTAGCAGCTAAGTCTGAAGGTCACTGTCCTTGCTGCGCTCCCGCTTGACATTTTTTCTCCCCATTCTCCCCATATCTCTCTCCTCTCCCCGTCATCGCCTCATCGGCCAGAAAAACCTTTCACCTCTTGATGGTACCATCTGTTTTTTTCTACTGGAGTTATTCTGTGTCTGTTTACCCACTTTGCTTTCACTCTAGCTTGCTCTTTATTAATGGAACGTCTTAATGGAAACCGCATGGCTAAATGGACCCCATAAGTACATGATTGAGTTAAAGAGACGGAAAAGGGCTTTGAAAACAGCTGATGTGTACATCTTGGTGTTCGCTAATTGAAAGGTTCGTGTGCGGCGCGGGTGGCGGTGACATCAAAGGGCCGAAACTAATTAGCACCTCCTCCCCCACCCGTATCCATTCACTCCACCAGGTTTATTTATTCACCTTTTTACGTTGCATTTTTTTTTTCTGCTAACGCACAACAGAAACGGGAACGTAAACGCTTTCATCTTGTGCTTAGCTTGCACAATTTGGCTTAGGTGGCCCGGAGAGCCTCGTATATGGAAATGATTGCCACTGCTGCTCAGTGGTCAGGTTTATCAGAGTCAGAGTTTAGAAACCTTAATTTAAGCGTATTATTTACTGTATTGCTGATGAGGGGATGAGAGCGTGCGTTGAATCTGTAATGGGTCTTTGCAGTGCAAAACTGCTTTGTGGCTTTGGAATTGCTTGTGGTATCAGGTCTGTTTCATACGCAAACGCAAGCAGCACATATATTTATATGCTTAAATTACAGTTTATAGTATTTACACTGAGTGTATAAGCAGCACTTTGCTGTGTAGAAGAAGCTCTGCTGCAAGATGAGTTTTTTTTTTAGTGCTGAGCTCATTTTTACTGTGCAACGTGTGCTTGACTTAGCAGAAAACACTTGAAAATGCACTATAAATTTGTCAACAATCTTTTATTATCAATATAGGCTTTTATGAAGCAACATAATGATGCAAACTATATGTGATCTCTCAGAAATTGTTTTAATGTGCCGATTTGGTGTTCAATAAACATTTCTTATTATTATACATGTTAAAAACAGTTGTGCTGCTTAATATTTTTGCAGAAGCTTTGACACATATTTTTTAAGGTTCTTTGCTAAATAGAAATTTTAATTAAATTAATACTTGTATTCATCAGGGGTGCATTAAATTGATCAATAATGACAGTAAGGACATTTGTAATGTTGCAAAAGATTTTTCAAACAAGATTATCATAGATCGGTCAGTTAAAATATTTCAAAAGCATGTTTTTTCAACTTTCTATTCATCAAAGAATTGTATATATATCAGAATATTAATCAGAATATTACAATGATTTCTGCAAGGTCATGTAACACTGAAGACTAAAGTAATGATGCTGAAATTCATCTTAAGAATAAA